AATTTGATAACTCAGAATTTCATCTTATGACGGGTAGATCACAGACATATTTTGTCTGTTATATGAATGATCTGCCCTGCGATGGACTGGCGACCTGTCTAGGGTGTATCCTGCCTTCCGCCCAATGACAGCTGGGATAGGCTCCAGCGCCCCACCGCGACCCAGAAGGATAAGCGGTTTAGATGATGTGTGTGTATATGAATGATTAACGCTGATATGAATTAGTACGGTCATATTAGTGGACACTGTAAAAAGGAATTTATTGTGTGCCTTATTGTGCACCACACCTATAAAGTAGATCTGCAGAGAAACACTGAGCGTTGATGTTGGGGGGAACTAACGTATCATTTTATTCCAACAGTTAAGGTGGATCGCTAACTATCACTATCGTAAATGAAGTTAATTGCTTATAGTAGGATCCTGCAACAGATGGCTACAGCAAATAGGGAGCAGTGTCTAGCTACCCTACAAACAGCAGTGTAATAAATCTTCAGAACAAGCAATGTTAACAAATTTAGAAAAGTTTAATTATCTACTAACTGGGAGTTTTCGCTGACAGCATCCAGAGTCACTTTATGTCAAGAAGAGGAACGCGAGTAGTTTGTGTATGCATATTGCTAACTCTGATTGGTACTTTGGCAGATTTGACATCACCTGCACCAAATTACGTCCCACCCAACTTAATTTGAACTGAAAAAAATGTCAGTAAAAGTAATTTCAAAAATCTCTAAACGGAAAAGGCCACCGCATCGTTTATCTGCCAGTTCATTGTGAAAAATATTTAAAAAATACAGATAATAGTTAGAAGAAAATCATGAAAATGAGTAGATGGACACTTTTCCAGCCTCTCTTTATCCCTTACAATTAAAAGAGGCTGTTTTTGTTTCTGTGCCTTGAAGACTGATAGATGTAAATGAGCTCTGTTCTGATTGGCTGCACTTTATTGTGCCTCATTCAAAAAGCACTTAGAGCCAAAAACTCGCTAGAACTTCAGTATGAATAGGCAGTGCTAAACTGCTGTAGCCTAAATAGGTGTAATGAGTTGGTTTCTGTGACATTACAAAGACAATGAATTCAAAATGGGCTGCTTTTGCATCATGGTTTCCATGTATAGACTGGGTAGTGAATAGTACATTTTGAAACTTTGTCAACGTTTACATAAAACTTCTTAATAAAACTTTATAAAAAAGAGAGAGAAATTTTGCTTTCCATAATTTGGGACCTTTAAGCAGTACTTAAGTTGCTTAAATTGGCAAGCTGCCCCTGCTTCACCTTTTACAGTTTGGCACTCTGGTCCTGGTGCGCTACAAAAACCCCCCACAGACAGCTACCCTAGATTCCTGACACCTGCAGATATTCAACAAAACAATAGGATAGTGGAATCTGTGGGGAAAAGTTAGCCCTTTCCTTGCATAATGTTATGCATGAGCATCTAGGGGCGCACACGCGCTCTGTCTTCAGATTTGTTTGGGAGATTTATTGGCTTAGAGCTCCCTAGGTCTTTTTGCAGGTCCTCTCAGCAGGCTCCCTCTCCACACTCATTTGTAGGGACCAGCAGACCTCAGTGGCTCATGTTTAAACATGGCCGCTACAGCGCTATCTAAACAAGCCCTTCAGGCTCAGGCCTGATAAGCCCTCGATAGGGCTTGCCTCTGCTTTTAAACAAAACCAGACAAATGCGCTGGGAAATCGTATCGTCGCATGTTTACAATGTCTTTAGCCACTTCACACTTTTGTACACAATATCTTTAAGGACACCAGTGATTAGAGTAACAATAGAGGAGCTCGTGGGTTATGGGTGTGTTGTGCCTGCGTTCTTCTCCTAGACCCTGCGCTTCCATCCGTGTCAGTAATAGGGCTCCCAGTTATAGCCCAGTGTCAGCATGAACGCTGCATTGCCAATTTATTGAGTTTGCGGGGGGTTGTGTGGTAGAGCTGGTGAAGGCAGAATAAAACTGCACACTGCTCTGGAAAGTCACACACTGCCCTCACAAACAACTGACAGGCTCAACTTATCTGCCTTCATTTCACCAAGCAGAATTTCCGTCTTACCTTTTACCATTCAGAAGGCTTCATTCTGCCAACCTCATCAGTCCACGGTGAGGTGAAATGCTTTCAAATTAGTAAGGAAAGTCTAGGTAGTGCATTTGAAAAGTTCAATCCATTTCCATTTAGATGAACGGCTGCGTGGGCACTTTTGAGCAAATGTGACATTTTAGTTAGGTTAACATATTGTGTATGTTTTCAAAGTCATCATCTGTGAAATTACAAAACCACACCAGCACAGAGAAAAGAAAGGAGTATATGTAGAAGGTCAATAATGTCATTACTAAACAAGTAAATTACTGAGCAGCCTTTTGCAACCATTGCACTCCTTGCGTTTGCCTGACAGACAGTTGTAATTGTCGAGATGTTCCAATTTAGAATGTGGTCGAGGCAGCTGTGCCCTTCACAAACTTTCAGCAGAAGGTTTATTTGCTATAGAATTTCCCTTTCTTGCAAAAATAAAAGCCAGCGAGTCTGATCACAAAAAGAGAAAGGATGAGAGAAAGAGAGTGAGTGAGTGAGTGAGAGAGAGGGAGGGAGGGGGAAAGAGAGAGAGAGAGAGAGAGAGAGAGAGACTCATTCTTTATGCTACACTGCACACTTCTCTTCTTGTAATGGATGGTCCCTCCAAGCATTAGGCTCTCTTATCATTAACTCTCATCACTTTCCCTCTCCTTACACAATACGAGTCCATTCTTATTCTCTCTCTCTCTCTTTCTCTCTCCCCTCCTCTCTCTCCTTTAATACGCTTGTGAGTCTCTCTCTCGTTTATATCTCATTTTCAGACTCAAGTCCCCTTCACCACCAGCCCCCTCTGGTGTTATACCTGCTGTGCAGTGGAGTGGAAATGTCCTCCCAGACTGTTCACTCTCTCGAGCCATGCTGATTCAAATAAGCCAAGAACCATGTGAATGACCTGTATCTGGGGTACTCATTTAAAAAATAAATAAATATATATATATATTTTTTTTTTTACATAAAAACTTTAAAAATAATAAAATAAAAAGTCAAATATCAAATACACACACATATATACATATGAAAAATGTGTGTGTGTGTGTATTGTTTGTACATTGTTTACATTGTTTGTAGATGGCGGCAAGTAAGGCTGCCGTGTTGCGAGCTCCCTTTACTCCTTTTAGTTTTTTGTTGTGTTTTTTTGTAACCACTTTTGCACTAAATTTCGCCAGCACCTTCTTTTATGACAGACAAACACTTCTGGAAATTAGATCAATGATCACTCACCGAAAACCCGCCTTTCAGTTTCTGAACACATTCATCTGGCCCAACCAGCCAAGGAAACGCCACAGACACTGGAAAAGGGGCAGGAGAGCCAGCATTCTGGTCAGGCTGAGACAGCGTGCTAACTGCCCCCCAGTCCCCAGCATACTACTGGCCAATGTACAGTCCCTGGACAACAAAATCAGGAAACTCAGAGCTTTCCAGTAAGAGACACAGGAATGCTGCGCTTCCACATGAGCTGATTACTTTCTATCCTTGTTTTGAGGTAGATCACGCCGCGCTCCCAGAAAATGGCTACCCTGTGGCTGATGCATGCAGAGCCTTCAGCTGGCACCTGGAACTGACGGCATTCCTGGACGTGCCCTCAAAGCATGTGCACATCAGCTAGCAGGAGTGTTTACATACATCTTTAACCTCTCTTCAGTTCTCCGTGCAGCTGGTGGGCCAACTCCAGGTGGTACGGATTGGCAACATCCTCCTCCACCTCCTCTTCCTCCTCCCTGACCCCTCACACCAAAGCTCCTCAAGGCTGTGTGCTGAACCCTCTCTTGTACTGTCTGTACACCCCCGAATGTTCAGCCTGACACAGCTCCAGTGTCATCAAATTTGCAGATGACATTGTGGACCTGCAGCAGTAATGCGGTTGCTGTACCAGACTGCAGTGGTGAAGAGGCAGCTGAGTCATAAGGCAAAACTCCCTGTTTACCAGTTGGTCTACATCCCCACCCTCACCTATGGTCATGTGCTTTGGGTAAAGACTGAAATAATGAGATTGTGGATACAAGCAAGAAGACATGAGCTTTCTTTGCAGGATACGGCTTGACAAGGTGAGGAGCTCAGTCATCTGGGAGGAGCTCAAAGTAGAGCCACTACTCCTCCACATTTAGAGGAGCCACTTGAGGTGTGTGACGTGGTAAGGTGAAGCCTACCCCATCACCAATGAATACCATCCCTTGCACTATAAAATATGTGTGTGTATAGATGTACTTACCTGTGTCTGCCTGTGAAAGGAGAATTAGCAAAAGGGGGACAGCAGGGAGACCTACGTACCTTATCCTTATCGGGAGGATCCACCGATGGGGAGAAAAGGGGGGGGGGTGTATTCCTCATCTAATATCCTGTGGGAGGAAAAAGAAAATAATTAAGTTGCTATAAGTTAATGGGCCCAGACAATGTATATACCGGTAATAAATTGTTTAACCTAGGTTGACTGTATAAAGCGCTATTGTTTGTTTCATGTGTAAACCACACTGTTCTAACCTCATGGTGGGGAATGGGATCTCTGAGGGTGGGGCTTTAGACTTAAAACGTGGGTTCCTCGGAAAGGAGGCTACTTCTCCCTATGACTCTGTTTGCCACAGGGGACACTAGCTGCTCATAGTGACTAATGTAATGGTGTGGGGGAAGTTTTAAAAGTGAGTTGGCATGACTAAGCCTGATGCTTAGTACATATTGTAAATACCTTAACTTCCGTTTATTTTTTGTTTTGTACAGTTTGTTTCCTGTTTTCACGTTGTGTAAATAAACTGCTTGCTTGTGCACTCTACTTTTGGTCTTGCTCATCCTATTGTTTCGCTCACCCTCGCAGACCTTACCAGTAAGCCACACGTAAAATCCAAAATCCTTTTCTCGGGGTTTAACATCTTCACAAGGTGGTTCAGGCATCTGATTAGGATGCCCCCTGGCTGCCTCCCATTGGAGGTTTACCAAACATGGCCAATTGGGAGAAGACACAGAGGTCGCCCCAGGATCTGCGGGAGGGATTATATCTCCAAGTTGGTCTGGGAGTGGCTCAGGATCCCTCAGTGGAGGAAACTGAAGGGGACAGGGTCATCTTGGTATCTCTGCTTTCTCTACTATTTCGAGGCACCTCTAAGTCATGAGGTGGTAAGCACAGAGCACTGAAAATTACATTACTTTGCAGAGGGGAAAACTAACCAAAATCTTCCAAATTTGAGGGCAAATATGAGTGTTCCACCGTTTTTTTTTTATATTGCAATCGTTCTAACTTTGCCTTTCTACAATAGAACAATGTTTTTTTTTTTATTCCATTCAGGCACAGACCCTTGGTGAATAAGTCAAGGTCAACAACGAATATGAAAAACTTGATAAGAGCATGAGGAAGAAGCCTTGAGAGAAACCAAAGCCCGAAAACCATTCTCATTCACAAGTCGTTATATTTTCAAGAGTGGGCAGAACCCCTTAGCATCAGTACATAGATGCCGATGGTAACCATTTTCAGAAATTTGGTGAACACAACAATCCTGAAGACTTCAAGGTACAAGGGAACCCATCTTCCTCTCTGTGGCACTGAATAGGGGAATTTTGACATAAAATGTACAAGTAGAAACAGAAGGACTCGGATGATTCAAAAGAAAGCAAGAAATATTCAAAGCACAGCCATAAGAGCAACATCAAGGCCACTACACTCCAACATTCTATGATCAACAAACCTGAATGACCTAGTAAAAGGGGTAGGAGGACAGCACCAACATGAGTTTACTATTACCCTATGTCTACAAAAGCTTAGAGCACCTTTATCTTTATTTAAAATATATATATATATATATATATACACACACACACACACACACACACTTACCAAAGGCCTGGCTAGTAGGTGTTCAGCTAATAGATTGAATTGAAGATTTCTGTCGGCTCAAGTACTGACAAAGGTTATTCCATAGCTGAGGGGTTTTATAGAAAAAGCTTTGTTCCTCAATGTAATTTTCATAATCCATAATGGGTGGAGAGTTCACTCAGACACTGTGGAGCAAGATCATTTAGAGCTTTACAGGTCAGTAGTAGTATCTTTCAATCAGTGTGAAAAGGAGGCCAATGTACCACTGATATTATAAGGCTAATATGATCAAACACTGGTTCTACAGTAAATTGACTCTGGTAAGGCTGGAAAGCTAGTGCCTTGTGTGCTAACTTGAGCTTGTTTAGGCAGTTGCTGGTAACTAAACAGCAAAACATTATAGTTGTCCAGTCTAGTGCTGAAAAATTTCTCCACATCATGTGCAGAAAGTATATTTTGTGGACAAAACTGGTCTAGCAGGCCTGGATAATCCCATGGGTTTTATGGGCACATGCCCAGGGGCCCAAGCCTTTAGGGGAACCCCATGAGCAATTATGACAGAATCTAAACAGCTGTGTTGATTCACGATAGGAACAGTAGGGGAAAAATAAATTTTCAGTTGTTTTCATTGAGTTATGGCTGATCAGAATCCTGACACTCTATACATCTTTTCTGAATGCTTTATTTTCCCTCCAAACACAGCTTAGCAACTGTTCCACTACTTGCCATAATATCGGTCAAGCTTTCAGTTTTCTTTTTTTGTTTTTTTTTTTAAGCAGTGAGCTAACATTAGTTACTTTGAATGTACTGTGAATTTGAAGCTCCAGATGTTCTAAAGATGTGCCTGGGGGGTTTCAGAAAGTGAGAACTTCCTCAGGGTAGAGGATGCCCATTTCCAAAGCTAAATACAAAATACCAGCCAGCCAAGTTAAAGAAAAAAGTTGCATTGTCCTTGTCGATAGTGTGAACTGTCTAATTATGTTCATGAAATTAAGAGGTAAAACATAAATTACAAATACATAAATAAATAAATAAACAAATATTTTCAATGCCTGCTGTGGCAGTATGCTTTAGCTAAGGATGCTTGATGGCTTGGTGTTTTACATTTGCGGTTTCTTCAGTCTTTATTATGTACATTTCAGCTGTCTGATTTTAGTTTGTCGTCTATACATTTCATGATCACTTATGAAAAGGTAGCCAAGTAGGGGCCCATCAAATATTTGTGAAGATCCAGGCCGTAATTCTAATAACATTACTTATATGCATATAAAGGTGACTAAATAGTGAAAAATTATTATCTGAATGAAGTAGGAAGGAATTATTCACCATACAGGTTTTGATGCTATTTATACAATCCTTAAATGGTGCCTGGCAACTAGTTTGGCTAATACTTGCTAATGCAATGCTTAGCAATAACTGCACCCAGAGGCGCCAAATATAAGGAAAATAGCAGTGGTCCAACAATAGAGTCTTGTGGGACGCCATCATTTTTTTTTACATTATTATATTACATTTCTATATAATTTTTACATTAATAGTATAAATAGTGTAACTGTAGTCTTTTGTTGATTGCAAGTATTTCTTAAGCCTACTTTCAGCTTGATGAGTGACATGCTGTGTGATGGCACAATGTATTGTACTGAATGTGAAAATATAAGCAAAAAAACAGCTAACAAAATTACTCCATTACTGGCCATCCACTAATATATAACTCCTGAGTTATTTTTCAATTTCATGACTTTACGTATTTAATAAGTGAATATATGAAATTGTGCCAAGCACAATCTAAGCCTAGATTTATGAACCTTTGAAATACTATAATGCCAGCTAATTCCAATCACAATGCATTCAGCACTTACTAGTGTAGTATGTCCTAACCAGCCAGCTGGCCTGCCTCTTCCCAGAGCCTCAAACACTCCCTCGGCAGTGCAAACCCAGTGCTCCGTCTCCACTGAGTAATAACACTCTGGATCTGCTCATCACCTCAGCTATATATACACGCTGACCCCTCACCTAGTTCCTTGCGCAGCATTGCACCTATCCATGCGCTCTGCCATTCCATCATTTTCAGTCTGAATTGCTGCTAGTTAGCATTAGCCTTTGTTGAGTTTGTATTGTCATTTTAACATTAGCATTCCAGTTTGTCTTCCTGCCCTTCCCTTGTTTACTTCCTGGTTTGTATTCTGGCAGTTTTTGGTTTTCTGTTATTTGTTTTGTTTGGTTCGGTTCCTGTGTTTCAGCCTGCTCTACTGTGTTCACTCTTCAACTGTCAATAAGCCATTAAAGTGTCTTTAATGGTTTATTGACAATGGTTTATTGACACTTTTAGAACACAAACATATTAGACCCAGAACCTATTTGTTCTATATCCCTGATACTCATCTTCTCACAACCTGGATATATTTCTGCCTAGTCTACCTAGTGCTGTCCCAGGTGCTTCAGTTGTAGTAATGCTGCAGGCAGAGTTGGGAACATTGATTTGCAAGCAATAAGTGTGTCTCGACATTTGAGTCCCAAGTTAATACAGGCAAATCTCAAGTCAAGTTCCAAGTCAATACAGGTAAGCTTCAAATTAACTTCCGAGTCCTTATCAGGTCAGAATGCATTCTTCACCATTTTTAATGAAATTTCAACATGTAACACCCAGACAGCAATGGTACTGTGATAAAGCGTGTCCCTCAACCCCTGCTATATGCTGTAGTAGGGGGCACACTCTATGGGTAGTGTCGGGTGAATGGTCTAAGGACCTGGAAAAAGTTAGGCACGCACAAGAGATCTTCTCTACGTCACCTTTATTTATACACTGACAAGTACAGCTATTTACATGTTTACAAACATGTGCACTTAATACAAAAACGAAACGGAAAATAACAATCTCTACAACCAGAGAACATAGAGGCCATAAATTATATACACTCATCACAGTTCAGTCAAATACTGTGAGCTGAAAGAATCTCCCCCTATACCACTAGTAATGCTGCTTATATGCAGGTAGCTCCTCCCCCAGAATAAACCATTATGAACATGGGGTAAAACAAGAGTACTGAATATTCAAATATATTTACATACAACAGTAAATATATTTTGTTATCTCCTTACTGTTTAAATTCACAGTCATGGCATCATAAACATTCTTTTAGAATTACAGTGTACACCTATAAACAATTTTCACTTTTACAGGTTTTATTCGTACCTCCTCTTTTACAGAGGATGGACTCATCCAGGTAAATAAAACTCAAAAGAACTCACTGAGTTCTCTTTTCAGTTCTTAGAGATAAGGATGATCAGCCCACAGGTAAGTGTAGGTAAGTACATACAATAGTCTTTACTTGTGATGTGTAAGGAGTACTGTACATCATCACAGGTACTATGACTAAATTCATCATGTTTTTTTAATTTACAATTTATGTCAGAAACAGTTAGATAGAGCTAACAAACTCCTCATCGTTTTGGAGAGTCCTGAGTGGAGCCTAGTGTCATAAGCCAGAGACTCAATGTGGCCAACAACCACCTATGTTTATAGGAAGGGGCCATTAGACTGACAGGTAAAATGACAAACCATAGAATAATATTTTTTGCACAACGTGTATGACTGTCAATAGGTTCTACAACAAAAATCACATTACAAAACACATTATGGTGCTAGGTAACATTAGCTGTACTTGCATTGTTTATGTCAGTAAGCTGTAATGTATCGGTGCAGGCTACCAGTGTTGGGGAAGTTACTCAAAAAATAATGAATTACAAGTTATTCATATTTTCCCTTAACATAGGATTAAGTCACTTTTTGGAAAAAAGTACTCTCAATACTCTTTACTTCTGCAATTGAAAACCCAATTGTCCAGTTCAGTAATTTATTTTTAAAAGAACCAATCACAGAAAACATTACTTGAAAGACTTTTCTGTATCCCTACCTTTTTACAAGACAGCTGTTTTGCTGTCAGTTTCTTATTAACACTATTAGATGGTTTGACAGATTGCTTGCTGTGTTAACAGTGCTGCTCATATTCACAGTCAGCTGATGCACATATGACAGTCACAGATAATACACAGAGGAAACGTATGATTTAAATGTATTATGTGTCATTTATGTTAAAGATTTATAAATAACAAGTAATATGTGTAATGCATTACACTATTTTGTTACAGAAAACTGAACTCCAACTTAATAAGTCTCGACTGTGACCGAGTAAGGAAGATTAGTCTTTGTATACCAGTGCTAGCAAAGTCTCTCCTACATAGGCTGCAGCCCTGACT